ACTGCCCTAGATAACTGGTGGCACTGTTAAACTGCTCCTACCACTAGGACATTTTTTAAAATATTCAACAGAAACTTAACTTCCTGTAACTTAACCTGATAGCCAATCTCCTCCATCTTGGACAATACAGAATAGCACTTGAACATCTTCTATGTGACACTCATTGCGGGTTACTAACAAACAATCCTCAAGTCTGTCACTTTTCTAATAATTACACAACCATATGTCTTGTAGAGGGCCTTACAGCCTATCCAGTCCATCATTCTGCTTGACACAGGTCATTCAAAGCTACTGCATCCCCAAAATACTGTATAACTACCCAATCCCTGTTTGAAGCCCTTCAGTGAGTGAGACCCACAGGACTTATCTCTTAAAATTAAATCCTACCCTTAGGAAGGCAAAGAACTAATCTGTTCTTCTATGAGAGAATATCTGAAGGGTGCTACCATATTCCTTTTTGTTCCTTGTTAGGCTATCTTTTTCAACCATCTACTATAGGATATATTTCCACCACTCTCCTCTAGACCTATTCCAGTTTTTCTACACCTTTGTTAAAGATCTAGTACAAGCATCACACTAAGATATAATGTAGCTCATTTAGCTGTAGCATTAACCATGCAGTTAGTTTGTAAACCATGGTTTTATGACTTAGCTTGCTATGCAAACTCGTATGATTTATTGAATAAATCAGGGTTGAGGAAATAATGGCTTCTCATGATATGTGAGTACAGTGTGTGGTGACCAATGAATTTTTTTAATCTTATTAGCTGGAGAATTCACACACACTGAAATCATCTCCCAAATCCTCTTTAACTTATCAAAATGAATTAAAAATGCAGAGATATACTGGAGGACCAAAGGGTGTTTGTCATTCTGTCAAAAGCACAGGATCTCATAAAATCAAGCATTTCACTCCTCTGGTTTGGAAGTGAAACTCTTACTCATGGAAAATTCCTTTTAAATACATAGTAATATCACAATTATTTATAAGCTTTTCTTAACATAAACCAAAGTTGTATGATTTCTAAGAATCACCACAGTTAACACTCTATTAAAACATTTTAAATATTAAAATACATCATTTATCAATTTTACAAAGCTTTCTTCAAAGATGGAAATAAAAAGCCATATCTTCATGCAGTGCATGTACCTGAAAATAACAAGGAACTGAAAGAGTCATTTTCTGAGGAAGAAAGGGACAAAACCACTCGTACATTTGTGTAAAAACACATTAAAAACTTACTAATGCTGACTGTGACACTAAAAAGGTGGATTATAGTGGACAGTCAAACCAAAATTCTGAAGATTCAATAATTAATTAATTACAAATGAGTCCCATATGGATATTTGATTTTCAAGCTATTTCAAACAGGATTGCAATCTTTAAGGGTCAATTCTATGCAGGTCTATTCCAAAATAAGTCCCATTTAATTCAGTAGAGCTTACTCACAGGTATAAGACTGCAGCAATCCTACACTGATGTTTACCTGGAAGGAAGCATCATGGATCTGAACTCCCATGTGAACAGACACATAGGATTGCATTGTCAGGAAATTCAAAAGGGTTCAGTAATCAAGCAAGCAAGATGTCATTTAATACATGTTAATTACTTTTAAATTAGTATTCATTTAAAAGCAAATGGTACAGTTATCACAAAAAGGCCATTTAAAATCTATTCATGTAGCCTTTGTCCTGAGAGGTGAGATACTGAAGGGGAGAGCATCTGTCAATGTGAGGAAAATCTTCTGTGACAATCTATTCTGGCTGGGTTTTATTACCTCATGAATCAAATAAAATTATGGTTTAGTCCAATGTCTACACCACCAAATCATTATGACTATTATGATGCTTATATTATCATTATATTTATTAACATTATAATAAAAACATATTTTGCACAATTGGGGCTTAGCATATGTTAAAACAGCCAGTGTGATCAGTCATACCCATACACACATGCACACACAAAGAACTAAGAGGAATCTCCAAACTGGGGCTATACTACATAGATTAATCCTGTATATATTTTTAGTTGTTTAGATTTTTTAAAATCCTGCCTTTATTATTTTTTATAAGTAACTCAAGGCAGCAAACAAACCTTGTACTCCTTCCTCCTCCTATTTTCCCCACAACAACCACCCTGTGAGGCAAGTTGGGCTGAGAGAGTGACTGGCCCAAAGTCACCCAGCCGGCTTTCATGCCTAAGGCAGGACTAGAACTCACATTCTCCTTTATACATGTATATATATATAATGCATCTATGTACAGCTTCAGGCTACTTCCCTTGAGTCCTGATTGTTGAAATTAGCTTTCTCCAACCCTGGCTAGGGATAATGTGAATTGCAGCTGAATATATCTGGAGGGTACCAGGCTGAGAAAAGCTGATTTAGATTAAAAAAAAGTGCATCTAGTCCAGCTTCCCTTTTCACATAGTGGCCAATAAGGAACCTCTAGGAAGCTCATAAGCAGAAGATGAAAGCAGTACACTTGTGCTGTCATCTCCACACTGGCCTAGAGCAGTGTTTCTCAACCTCAGAAACTTTTAAGAGCCCTGGGCTTCAACTCCCAGAATTCCCCAGCCAGCAACACTGGCCTAGAGAAGTATCCAACAGTGGTGAGCCCCAAAACAGCAGAACCTGTGAACAGGGCAATGAACTTGTTTTCTAGTAGAAGGGATACTAGCTCCTCCAGTCACCTTGACTGCTCCACCATATTGTTATAATTACTGCGCACTGTTTTTATATCAACTAGGCTATTTCATAATTTAGCTAGAATTATTCAAACAAGGCAAATTAGTCATGACTCTGCTTGACTATAATAGTGTTAAGAGTTTAGATATGGTAAAACCAAAGTCCAGATTCAGCTCACTAGTATTTAATAAGGGGCAGGAGCTGACCATGGAAATCTGAGATTACTGTGACTTTATTAAAATGATCAATGCATATGAATGAAATATTTCTAAAGAAAAAAAATGCTTATTTTCCATAAGCATGGAGGGGGGGAGCCAGCTTTTGTGCAGGAAAAGAAGAAATGCTAATACAGAATGGAGGCCAGCTGCCACATGTTTGTAAGTATCTGTATTAAAAAACAGTTTAACAATCTTTAAGAATCTTATGATTATTTGGGGACACCAAAACGCTTCTCAGCAATGATCAACCTAAAGTTGCATAAAACATAACCTCTAGACTGAACGCTGGGAATCCTCGCATTACAATAATCAGAATTACACACGCAGACTTTGATTCTGCTGGTGCCATGCATAAAATGATCTCGAATCAAACTTCCCAGTCTCTCGAAACAAGACACAATCTCAGGGCTGACGTTTCATATTCCTCTTTTATAAAAAAAACCCTCAACCATATTATCTTCTCAATTTTCAGGGACTGAATCTGACTCATGTCTGCGAAAAAAAAGTGCATCCATCTTACTTTAAGCGTCTCTTTGCTCGGCCGAACGCGAAGCAGCAGACGCCATGGGGAAAACAAGCATGGGTGTACGGCGTTAGGGAGTGGCCAAGATGCAAATCTCCAGCTTTCCAGTTTCCCACCGACTGCAAGCAGGTACGGCAGCGTGTTATCAAGTGTCAGATCCACGCAGATGATACCTTGCCAGACCGCACACAGGCTTGGCGTTCGCACATACGTATGCACGCACTATATTTAAAATATCACACACGGTCGTCCCAGTCTTAATTGCCGTCGTTCAAGACATTCTCCTGCACGCGATCTCAGTTTTAAGCAACTAACCGCCCAAGGGAATCCTAAGCAATAGGGACATCTTTAAAAAAAAACCTGCCAACCTCCGTGCTCTGCTCTTTTCCTACTGGGATATCTTGCAGCAAGAAGGAGGAGGCAGGGAGGGCCTCGCCTACTCAATCGTACATACCGAAAGTGACTGAACTGCAAACTTAAAAAAAAAAAAAAAGTTGAGCTTGTAGCTTAATGAAAGAATGGAAGTTGTTAAGCGTTTGCCTACCTGGTGCAACTCTGCAACAAGTGCATGCAGGTCCAAGATCACTGTGGGCGCAATTTTTTTTCTTAATTTGTTTTGCACCGATAAGGCAATTGCAATTTTAATTTACTACAGTGCTATTTACTGGGGTCCTACTTTGCTTACATTACAGCTCATCCTGTAAACAAATATCGCTCCGCCAGGAAATATACTCACCCCCTCCGCCTCCTCCCTCCCCAAGCTGCGCGCAATGTACCCTCCCCTTGGAGATTGCATTCGGGAGGGGTGAAATAACTAATTGCAAGATCACGCTGGGGGGGGGGGACTCAAGGGAGTTAGACTTACCTTTTCAAGAAATTCCATGCATGCTTCGTATAATGGAGCTCTGCCCCCTCCCCCCATTTCGGGTACAAAATTCCAGTGTCAGCAAAACGCTGTCAAATTATTTTCGTGCAAAAAAAAAGGGGGGGAGCAGAAGCAAAAAGGGGAGGAGGCTAGAGGAGAAAATTGGATCCCTCCGCCGAGATGGGTCTGGTCCTGAGTTTGCAAACCCGGAAGTAAGGTGTCAGCGGCAGTTGCTGTCGTAGTAGCAGCAGCAGTAATAGTAATAATACCTAGGAACCCCTCAGTGGATTATCCTGTGTAAGGTGACCCGCAGTTTCCTTTAGACTAGGTAGCTTTTAGGCAGAGTCCCTTGCCAGTTAATCGCACTGGCAATCCTAGGGGATTAGGGGTGCGGTTCGATTACCCCATATCTCGGTCCTTCCTAAAGGCTGTAGATTCACCACACGTAATTGAGCCCCCTTATTAGAGCTCTCCAACCTGTAAACGGCCCCAGTCCGCTCGCTAGACCGAGAACGATCTCAGGCTAGTTCCGGGCTCGCAACAGTCAAAAAGAGCTGCGTGGATGTCGCACCGCTTCCTCCTGTGGCAGCTCGTAACTAGATTTTAGAGGGGCCCTTGAGCTTGCTTGAATCCGGGCGGCTGGGGTTGCTTCCTTGTGAAGGTCTAAAGCACACACGGGGGAGGGGAGGGGATTTGAACAGATCCCGGTGTTATCCTGTGCATGTTTACTCGAAAGTAAATCCTCTCAGTGCTGCACAGGGCGCAGTCTCGGATGAATTTGTTTGACTGCAGCAAAAAAGAAAATAAAAGAAGGAACCTTCTCTCCCCACAATGCACCACAAGCTGGGCTGGAGGATCTCCGGATACCTGAAAGTAAGTCCCATAGATTGCACCGAGACTTTACTCACTAGTAAACGTAATTAAAATCAGACGATAGAAAGGGTGACTTGGGAGTTCTTAGTTTTTCCCTTTCACTCCAAGTAGCAGCGTGTGAACCTAAGGAGGGTGCTCTACTGTACTGCACAGTGTTTTTTTCTTTCTTTCCACAACGCCATGACTGCAAAACGTGGAGAAGGGGAGGGAAATAGCCGGGGCTGCTCCTCCTGGGAGCGCCCCCAACCGGCTTACACTGGGCGCTGCGTTTCCCG